AAAGAATATAGTCCTTCGTTGAAAACAATCATACAGCATGATGGTGTACGCTGATAGTTCAATTTTCTGACACGTCATCGCGGAAGAATAATGTCTAGACGCGGTTCGCAGGCTCAGCTGCGAGTCTATTATAGCCATCTTTTTACTAGCTCGAAGTTGATCATGAGAGTCGCTAAATTTCGAGGTTATATATATCTTCTTGAATTTGAAGCTGCAGTAATCGAATGTTGAACTAGACAGGAAACCAGGCGTGACTTGAAAGGACGAAACAATTTGACATGGTAGTTGGCTGTTCGATTGCATTTCATATATGACGTGACCACATGGATGTGTGATCCACGTTTTCGATTTGTACCGGGAGTTGACACCGACACAAGAGGCAGAATGGGTAGTTAAAGGGGATGGATAAGTTCTAGGACAGTAAATGAATTGTCTCTATGGTCACGTGGATTTAATAAGCATACATGCATGACTACTTACAATGTAACTAACTCTACTTTGGACGGTATTGGTACGGCACTATACAAATATTAATAATGTTATATTATGACACTGTTTACAATTTACAATATAATCACATATTCAAAAGCACACAAACAAACAACACACATCATTATAATCGTTCCTTTTTTACATTTCTTTAGTTGCCATCAAAGAAAACAACAAATACTGATATACACGAAATTCACACAGACATACTCAGAGAGCCAGACAGACAAACAGACGGACAGAGATGTCGAGTAAACGTCTGATTGATATATGTTATCATAACTCATAGCAAAATGCAGGTGATTGATGAAATGGCAATTAATAATTTAAGGAATGTATTTGGTATTAAATAATATCATCAAGGTTGAGGATAGTTCAACTCTTTTATCCATATTTTGTAATTCATTAAATAAACTTATTGATATATTGTTACCCCTTTCCATATGTAATATATTTCTGAAAATTGTAATATTCCTTAATCAAATTTACTAGAGCCATAATATTAAGTGCACAGTGTAAACATCCAGTTTTGTATATATATAGTGTTTAATAGAAAGAATAAATTCATTATCAGTTCTATTATAGATTCCTGCTTGTACAATACATGAAAAAAGGGAATGGCAAGTGTATTTAAGAGATTTTCAAAACAATTCCAAAAGCGTTGTACTTAAGTGCACTCCCATAGGATATGAATGATTGTCTCCCTTTCTATAAAACATTGAACAAAGAGAGGGTTATGTGTAAGTCAAATCTTAAATAAGCGTGAATTTGATGATAAGATACAAAATACAAAATTATTCAAAATTGTAACCATTGTAACTTCGTGTTATTTGTAACCCTGAATGAAACAGCATACAGTTTTTAACACGTATCATTATTATGACCAAAAACAGTTCCCCATTTATTTTGTCCTGTTCCAGTGAAAATATTTTGAACTTTAAAGAACTTCTGTGACCTTTAGA